TTTCAAAATAATAATAAAGATTTTAACGTTGTAACACTCAGGATTTTTGTTTTACTTACAGTCTTGAGCCTACTTTCTTGTGAAAGTCGGAGTGTCTGTTAAAAACTAAAATCCATCTCAAATTTGAGAATTACACTGTGGTTTTCCTCTATACTAGCAAATAGATACCTATTCTGATTTTTTCTTTTTTATTGTTTGGGATTCATTGAGGGTACAAAGAATTAGATTACACTGATTGCATTTTTTAGATAAAGTCCCTCTTATAATTCTGTCCCGCCCCTGAAAGATGTGCCATACACTATGATCCCCACCCCCCTCCCTCCTCCCCTCTCCCCAAAATTGAGCACATTAAATTTTTGCTTTTGTATTCTTGTGATGCTTTACTAAGAAGAATGTGTTCTACCTTATTCTGATGTTTTTAATACTTATATACATTTTATTTCTAATTGGATAGCTCTTATTAAAAAATGTATTATATGTTGAATATTTGGTCCTGTGCTAATTGATTTGGAGATGATTTGGATGTAGTAAACTTTTTAGTGTAGCAGTCTGTGTTTGGTAAATAGACAATACTAGTCCGTTACCATAGTTAGTCCTATGAAAAGGATCTTTTCAAGGTGCTGTGGTAATACATACAAGAACAGAAAACCTGATCAGGAGTAGGGAAGGGAAATTTAAATTTAGTCAGAGAAGACTTCTTCATGAGTTAATAGGTGAGCTGTCGTGAAAACTTAGAATTAGCCACATAGAGGTGGGAAGAATAGGCCAGGAGAATAACACCAAGCACGAAGAAAGGCATAGAAGCATAAAACAGCAGGCCAAGCCTGAGGATGTACTACTGCAGAGTGTCACCTAAGAAAGAAAGTTGAAATTTGAATGTAGGCAGTTGCTTTATGCCAACACCAAGAGCTTGGCTTTGTTCCTTGTTGGTTGAGAAACGATAGATGGGTTTTTGAAATATTCCTAATTAGAAGGGATAAAATTGATGGTGGGAATGCCAGTGGGCTAAAACTATCTGGGTGAGAGATAATCAAAATTTAACCTACGTTCCTACTGCCAGCCTTTCACATCCACCACGGAAGCTAAGTGGGCTCACACCTACCCATCTCATCCACCTGACCCCCTCTGTCACCAGTGTTAAGGCCTGAGTCCTTATCCTCAGAGTTGTATGTAATATCTATTTGTCCTTATTTTCTTTTGATTAGTAGAGAATGCTGAAGAGAAATACTAATGTATAGTATTAGTATTGATTATACTGATAGAACATTTCTATCTGAAATGCCTCAGGAATATTTTGATCCAATGACTTTTTGTGCTGTATTTGGTTTTGGCACAATTGGTATCAATATTTTTAATACCTTTTTTTACTTAGTTCTTCATTGACCTTTTAATAAATTGCATACATTAGTCTTAGGGCTTTTTTTCCTTGCAAAATATAAAATTTGAGATAAAGAGCATGTATAATTATTAAGTTACTGGTCTTTTTTAAAAAATGGTGAAACATAAACAGATACATATCTGTGAAAGAAATAAAAAGTGAAAAAAACAACAGTAAATTTAAGATGAAGATTTACTAACTGGAATAATTTATTAAGAGTGTAGTTTGAAAATACAGTAAAACTCGTTTTTTTTTTTTTTTTCATGAGGCAGTATGTTTCACCCAGGCTAAAGTGCCTCAGCCTAGCTCACAGCAACCTCAAACTCCTGAGCTCAAGCAGTCCTCTTCCCTCCACCTCCCAAGTACCTGAGACGAAAGGCACACAGTCCCATCACCAGCTGATTTTTCTATGTTAAGTAGAAATAGGGTCAGGCATATAAATTAAAGAGAAATCTATTTTTAAAAAATAACTTACTTTTTCCTCTTGCTCAGGCTGATCTTGGACTCCTGAGCTAGAGGCATCTTTCCACCTCAGCCTCCCAGAGTGCTAGGATTACAGGCTTATGCAACCACACCTAATCAAACTCTTCTAAAGAAAATGTTTTCAAGAGGATCAAAGAAAGAGTAAAGCTAGTGCAAATTTGCTCTGATAATAAAAACAATGCTGAAAGATTCATCAATGTTTTTCTCATCTTTTCGGACAATTTATAGCAACACCCCATCGTAATTTTAATATAACTTTCCCAAACACAATAAAAGGGTACAGAATTGAAAAGAATTGAAAGATACAGAGTCTTTCCTTACCTTTTAATTTAAGATTATTGGATTTTCTTTTAATTTATAACTTTCCTGATGTTTTTCTTACCTATTCATTATAATAGTCAGTTGGAAGCAAAAGTACTAGAGATTGAACATCACGCAGAGATTAGGGGTTTACATTGACCCAATCAGTGAACAAGTTGAAAAATTAGTTATTTTTTAAAAATTGATTTCCATTTTATTTATATGCCATTTGTTAATAGAGACTTTTGGGTATTCATACAATATTTGAATTCACTTAATTAAAAATCATGCACTGATAGCGTAAACACTGTCGTCTCCCATGGATTCCTATGTGTCCCCTCCTTGGACAGAAATAGGGTTGAGGGTACTGGTTGTCTTCATCTACCAACTGAGTCCTCCTGGAGCAGAAGAAATGTAGTGAACCTTTGAAAAAGTGTTTTGTAAAGTAAGGTTGGTTGTAAAGCTAGTATCAAATTTTATTTTTACACTACAGATTGAAGAAACTAAGTTATAGAATATCACCTAGGAAATTGTATATTGAAAAACATTTAGAGAGTCTATTGGATTTCATTTATGTAAAACTCTAGTGAGTTATAAAGATTTTTAGGAAAGGAGAATGAAATTGAACCACTCCAAAAAAAGATTTCCCCAGCTGGGTACATTGTCAGCATCACTATTCATCTCGGCTAAATGTCTACTACAAACCAGGTATATAAAAAGGGATATATATGTGTATACGCCTTTATTCACTTTCCCTTTGCTAGCAACAGTCCAATAATTAGAGTAGTTTGTGAACAAAAAGAAGTTTATTAAAATATGAGGAGATCAGGGTATAAACCTGTAAGAAAATAATGTCTCACAGTGGGTTCTCATACCCTGAGGGTATTAAACAAGACCTTCCCGTATATTTTGTAGCATTGTCCTTTCAGTATTACCTGATACTGTCTCAGGGTTTCATATAAACTTTTTTCACCTCTCAATCCCACATCAATTTATTTCCTGTGATCATCCTTACCTTAGGATGATCTTACTCATCACCTTATCTTAATGGGTGTCGTGGGTGGTTAGAAGTATAACATCTAAACCAGAAGTAGTAGCCCTGTTGAGCTCTGCACTAGTAGTGCGGTTAGATAATTTGAGAGGCCATAATCAGAAAGGGATAGAGACACGAGGAGTATGTTCAGAAAAGTGTCTAGCAAGGAGAATCCAAACAAATGAAAACATAAGATGAAAGAATTTAAAGGTGAAAAGGGGCTGTGTTTACACTCAGAAGACAGATTGCAGCTCTGCCACGGGCGCTTTTTGACACTGGGCAAGTCGTTTTATCTCTGAGCTCTAGTATCATTTGTACAATGGAGGTAAGCCTACAGGATATCACAACCACCTCGTATGATTGTGATGAGATTTAAAACAAGAGGGTATGTGAAAACCTCCCGTGTGCCATGTACTGTGGACATGTTAGTATTACTTCTTGGAGATACAAGGTTAGAGGAATGAGGATAACGTTGTGGAAATGTTTTAGGGTTGTCATATGAAAGTTAGATTTACCCTGAAGGGCAAAAAGCAGAACTAAGATGTATAAATAGAAGCTCGTGAGAGAAAAATTCCAGTTCAGTGAAAGAATGAATTTTCTCATTTTCTCTATTATTCAAACATAGATGCGTTATTTCAAACGTTAGAATATCCCCTATCTCTGGCAGTGTTTTGGTATTTTCTTAGCTAAACATGTAAAAAGAATAAAAGCATGCTCTGGAGAGTTCACCTAGATCGCATATTGTTCCATGATTATGAACTCAAGTCTTTCCCAATTTTCCTAAACGTCTGTTCCTTTTTATCTATGTTCTCAAGAAATTTGCTTCCCTGGATACAACTTTTTGTTCCCTCTTTGAGAGCTTCTGTATTATTTTCTTAATACCACTTCTCTATATTAATTCATATTAGACTTTTTTTTTTTTTTTGGAAAAATTTCACTAAAAATCCTAGTTATCTCTTCATGAATGCCCCATACCATCATCAACCTGTCAGGCCTAGTCTAAACCCAAAAGCCCCTTCCCCTTTTCAGTATACATTGGCATCTCCTTTATATAGTACGTCAAGAAATCATGTTCTTTTGCAAGTAAAAAACAAATTGGTCTCCACATTTATATTTTGACTTATGCGTAGAGTTGTCTTTCAGTCTGAAATTACTTTTTATAGTAGAAAAAGGGAGTAAGGGCTGTTGTAAGAAAATATGGTTATCTACCTTCTTAACCTATTTACAATAATTGCAAGTATAACACCACCATATTATTTCATTGTCTGATAGTGTGGTAATTCAGAGATGGGATGATCAGAATTTTTTTTCTTGAACTATCTGGGGAAATATTTAAGTAAATTAACATAATAAACATGATTGCTTGTTTCAGTGTAAATGCTTTTCAGTTTAAAAGCATCTACTGGAGGTGAAACAAGTGAAGTATAAATTAGAAATCGCATTCATTCATGAAAGCATAATGACTTTGCTAAACTAGTTCAGACTAATATTTCTTTGAAAGCCGCTATTCACTGCTTAGGTGGGTTTCTTGATCCATTATTTGGAAATATGTTTTATGTCCTATTTTGTATGTAACAATACAGTTGCAATCTCTTTATGTTCATAAGATCTTAAAAAATAGCTTAAAATCTTTGTATCTTCTATAGTTTGTGTTTACTTGAATGAAAACACGTAACCAACTTATTTGGTATATCAACAAAACCAACATGCTTAAAACAGTGTATAGCTTCAAAAGAACTTTTGCTTTTTGCTGTCTTCTGTGAACTTATTTGTATCCCAGCTAATTTTTTTTTTTCCTTTGAAAAGCCTGGCAGTGAGAGAATTTCTTTGTCTGGATGATCCACCAGGTCCATTTGATAGTCTAGAAGAAAGCAGGGTAAGTGCTGTATTATATATCACAGGAAAAGAGGAACAAATAATACAGTACAATAACTACATTGTTTCTCAAATGCAGTGGCACACAGCAAAATATAATTTCAGACTATGATAGTTTTGCACAGAACAACACAACTTTTAATGTTTCAATCAAAGGTTTCATTCATTGAAATACATGGACTTGGTGCAGTATAGAAAATAAAAATCCAAACATCATATTGTCAAGAAAGCTATAAAATTAAATCCTATACTCATTATTTTACTGCTTAAAAAAATGATTTAGGAATTTATATTTATAACATCTATTAATACTATTTGTATGCTGAATTTTCTTCGATCTAAGTGTCAAAGTAAAGAACCTACACCTAAAATCAAATTTAAAACTTCAGAGGTAGACATGCTTGTCATCAGTTCAGTTCATGTTTGATGCTACTCAAATTACATTAATTGACGTGTTAAAGTGGCCTATTTTTTGAACCAATAGGCTACACTTACAAAACAGATTTCATAATAATGGATTAGCTAGGATTTTATGCAAATTTCCCCCAAATGTTAAATGGTGTTTAAATAGAACTGATTTAATTGGTACGATTTTGTAATGTTTTCAATCAAACCGAATCCGTTTTTTTTGTGTTTGAGTGAATGCCATCCCTTTTTAAAACAGGTTTATTGAAGTAAAATATTTATCTATACTATTCACCCATTTGCTATAATAATTTTTAGTAAATTTAAAGATCTGTGCCACCATCACCATAACCCAGAATATTTTAGAATTTTTTTATCATCTCAAAAATAATTCCTACAAATTCTTTTGCAATCATCCTGCTCTTCCAGCCCAAGGCAACCAATGATCAACTTTCAGTCCCTACACATTTACCTTTCCTAGGTATTTTACATGAATAAAATCATAAAGTTTGTGTGTGTATAAGTGGTATACATACTCTTTTATGTTTACAGCATGCGTAATATAAACTATATGCAATCTTTGGATCTGGCTTCTTTCCTTAGCATGCTTTAAACGGTACTCCGCGTTCCAGCCTCTATCATTACTACCTGGCTTCCATTGTATGAATGCACCACATTGTGTTTATCTAGGAACCAGTGCGGGATATGGTCATCGTTTCTACTTTTGTGCTATTTTGAGTAATACTGTGAACAATTTCATATACATGTTGTATGTACATGTTTTCTTTTCTCTTTGGATGATCACTAGAACAGTTTGGTCATCTAGCAAAGTTGTGTTCACTTTTTAAAGAAACAGAGTAACTGTTTTCTGACGTGGCTGTGTCGTATTGCCTTTTCACTAGTACCCTAGGAAAATTCCCTTTTCTTTGTGTCCTCATGAACATTTGTTATTGTTTTTGAATTATAGCCATTTTGGTGGATATGCAGTGATGGTTCATTATAGTTTGAATTTGCATGTCTTTAATGATTTTTTATTTTGATAACTTTTCACGTGTGTTTAGCCATTCACAAGTTTTCTTCAATGAAATGTTTATGGAGGTCTTGCCCATTGTTTTTAACTGGACTGTTTGTAGTATTGAGTTGTAAGAGGTTTTTTTTTTTTGGACTAGAAATCTTTTATCAGATATATAACTTTATATGATTTTTATTTTTTGAGACAGAGTCTCACTTTATCCCCCTGGGTAAAGTACTGTGTTGTAATAGCTCACAACAACTTCAAACGCCTGGGCTCAAGTGGTCCTATTATCTCAGCCTCCCCAGTAGCTGGGACTGTAGGCACCCGCCACAATGCTCAGCTACTTTTCAGAGATGGCATCTCGCTCTTGCTCAGACTGGTCTCAAACTCCTGAGCTCAAGCATTCCACCCTCTGGAATGCAATTCCATTTTCCCAGAGTGCAAGGATTATAGGAGTGAGTCACTGAGCCCAGCTCATTTGCAGATACTTTCTCCTAGTCTATGTGTGTCTTTTCATCCTCTTAATGGCATTTTTTGAAATGCAAAAGTTTTTAATTTTAATGAGGTTCATTTTACTGTTTTTATGGCTTATACTTTTGATTTTACATTATAAGAGTGCTTTGCCTAACCCAAGGTCACAAAAATTTTCCCATACATTTTTTTCTAGTAATTTTATGGTTTTAGCTCTTACATTTAGGTTTACGATCCATTTCATGTTAACTTTCTTACCTGTGTGGTAAGAGTCTCCTATAGATATCTTAATATTTCTCCATTCCCTTTATTTCATTATTGTTGGCACCTTTCACATCAGATGACCATAACAAGAAGGGTTTATTTCTGGACTCTTAACTCTAGTCCACTGATCTATTTATCTATGTTTACGGCAGTTTGATGTTGTTTTATTTACTACAACTCTATTAAGGTTACCATTTGCATGGTATGTTTTTCTGTCCTTTTAATCTGTTAGTGTTTTTCAGTCTAAGATTTGTCTCTGTGCATAGCATGTAGTGGGGTCTTGGTCTTTTATTCATTCTGACCTCCAGCTTTTACATGTGCCATTTTGCTGTTCATTTCCTGTTTGTCTCATCTGTTTCCGTCTTCTTCCTACTTCACAGCCTATTAATCATGTGAAATGAATACATATCTCTTTGTGATTCCTCTGTAGAATTTTTTACTTCTTAGTTATTTTTAGTGCTTTCTCTAGATATTGCATTATGCATCTTTATGATCTATTTAGGAGTAATAGTGTTTCATTCCAGTAAAATACAAGCTTCTGTCCACTGTATGTCCTTTCCTCTCCCCTACTTTGTATTGCTGCTGTTAGACACACACACAATATGTTATAAACCCAACAATTCAGTGTAATAATTTCTTTATGTAATCTTATGAGGACAAAGTATTTCATCGACTCTTTACTTACTGCACATTTACTGTTTCTGACCATCTTCATTTCTTCCTATAGATCATCTGGTATCACTTCAGCCTCAGAGTCTGGGTCTTTCTAGTAAGGCAGGTTAACAAATTCTCAGTCTTTGCTTATCTGACAGTGTGCATTTTTGAAAAATAATTTTGCTAGCAGGTGATTTTTTCTTCTTGTACTTTGTGTCATTCCACTGCCTTCTGGCCTATATTGTTTCTGGTCAAAAATCAACCAGTTGTTGTATTGTTTCCATTGACATGATAAACCATTTTGCTCTTGCTGTGATTATGATGTACACTGAGATGTGGATCTCCTTGGTTTTTCACCCTTTGGCTTCATTGAGTTTCTTGGACATGGCAGATTAATATTCTACAGCAAACCTGAAAATTTGTTAGCTCTTAATTTTTACGTATTTTTCCAGTTCCTTCCTCTCTCCCTTCTCCTAGGACTCTCACTGGTATCTTTGTGCCCTTCATGTTGTACCACACGTCTCTGAAGTGCTGTTTTTCTTTAATTTTTTTTTTCAATTCTTTAGACTAGATAACTTCTGTTGATATTCAAATTTACAGATTCGTTTTTCTGTCATGTTAAATCTGCTCTTGAGCCCCTCTTTTTAATTTCTCATTATGGTTATTATGCTTTTCAACTCTTAAATTCCCATGTGCAAAGCTGTTGGTTTTCATGGCCTACTTTACTCTGATTGAACTGTGACCAAATATAAAAGGTATGGACCTTGTCATCTCTGTATGCAGACTAAAGTGAACTGTCTCCATATGAAACCAAATTATTCAGGATTATCACTGATCTGTTTCACATAAGCTTTCTCATTAGTGAACCTGACATCGTGTATACTACTGTATGGACAACTTGGTTGCTATTATGAAGTTTTGCTGACAATCTTAAAAAATTCTGTTTTATTCAGAAATATGTATTTTTGCTAACTTGGATATATTTCAGAATATTTATTTAATGAGAATAATAGACTTTTTTTTTTTTTAGAGACAGAGTCTCAGAATGCTGGGGCATCACAGCTCAGAGCAACCTGTAACTTTTGGGCTTAAGTGATTCTCTTGCCTCAGCCTCCTAAGTAGCTGGGACTACGGGCACCCGCCGCAACACCCAGCTATTTTTTGGTTGTACTTGTCATTGTTATTTGGCAGGCCCGAGCTGGATTTGAACCCACCAATTCTGGTATATGTGGCTGGCACCCTACTCGCTGAGCTACAAGAACCGAGCCATTATAATAATAATTATTATTATTATTATTATTTCCTTGGTTGTAGTTGTCGTTATTGTTTGGCAGGCCCAGCTGGATTCAGACCCACCAGCTCCCATGTATGTGGCTGGCACCCTAGCCATTTGAGCCACAGGCACGAGCCCAAGAATAATGGACTTATAGAATGATCTAGAATAAGGATCAGAACGCAAAGACTGAAATTGATTTGAGGATTATAAAAAATAGCCTATATGTACAATGGCAAAATAGAGAAGGCATGCCCTTTCCGAAGGCATTAAAATTCTATTAAAAATTAAAAACTGGCCTAACAAAATATGTCTTTTTGTCCACTCAGCCATCTGAGATTTATTTTGCTGTTTGGCCACCATTTTATCATATAGAATTCTTTCTTCCTAAAGACTGCTGTTAGTTTATTTTTAATGTTTACATTTTTCTCTTTGTAAAAACAAATTGAGTATCTTTTAGTATCTCTTCGTTCAAAATATGCCCTATTTAGTGTGTGTCAGGTATTATGACTGAGTAGCGGAAGAAGGGACTTGATTTGAGTCATGGTTTCTCAGCCTGTTGACATTTAGAGCTAGTAATTCCCTGGTGGCAGGGGGCTACATAGAGGACTGGCCTGTGCACTGTAGATATTTAGCAGCATTCCAGGCCTCTACCTACTAGACACTAGTATAGCACTCCCTAGTTATGACAGTCAAAAATGTCTCCAAACATTGTCAAATATTATGTAAGTTTAAAATCACCTCTGGTTCCAACCACTGATTTAAATAAATTACCAAAGTAGTACTAAGTTTATACACTCAACAAACTAATATGGAATTTTTCTCTAAAATAAATATGTTTTCCTGCAACTAAACCTGAAAATAAGGGTTTATTTGTGCAGTAAATTTGAAAAAATTCCATACTAGTTCTTCTCTTTTA